ATATCCTCTTATCGGCTAAATTATAGATCTTATTGTGCATTTTGCTGCTTTTCTCTGAGACAAAGAAGGTGAGACCTCTTGGACTCACAAGGTCAAAATACCTTCCTTGCCTGCTGAGCTGGAATTGCCTGCTTTGCAATGGCTGAATGGTAGGAATTCCCTGATTCACCGGCCAACAGCAGTGAAGATTAGGAAACACACAGTGGTTGTAATGAGTGACATAGTGACAAGAAATCAAAGCCAACAGAACCCATTTATGTCAGACAGACACATTCCGAACCCAGGAAAGAAAGAGCTTGGTGCTCACATGGCATTGTGGCACAACACTCACAATTTCCTTCCTTTCCTGAGTTGGGAAAAGTTCACTGTGAATTTCAGGAAGGAAATTTCTGTCTCATCTTCTGTGCCATACTCTTACAAATCAGGTCCAAATGAAAGGTCCACTGCTATATCTGACAGCAAGAGAGACAAGAGTTTGACTGCGAGAGTTAACTGCATTCCTAAAGCCTCTCAGGAATGGCCTTAATAGACCGGAAATTTATGAATATCTGAGTGAGAGGGTTCCCTTTCTTCTGTTTGCCACTTGATTTTAGTGGATCAGGAACATTACCTGACATACAATTTCTGGAAATCAGTTATGCCAATTGCAAAAGCAGATTTATTTTGGAGGAACCATTCCCACAGGCTGCAGCCTGCATCCCTTCCAACCACGAGGCATGAAGCCTGTGCCTGTGACCACTCTGTGCTAGTTAAAGGAAAGACGATTGAACTGTTCTGCAGACACAATCCCAGCATTGTCTGGGGTCACGTCCTCTGTGGGGACAGGGACACAAGGGAAAACCTGTTCCTCACCGGTACCCCCACCCACGGCACAGGGCTGTGGTGGCAGGCTGGGGACGAAGGGCTTGAGGAACCTGAACTCGCTGTTGCCCGAGCCCGTGGTGAGGCTGATCTCGTAGCAGTAGGGGCGGGGCAGGGTCCCTGCAGCAGCTGCATCGGCCAGGCCGCTCTGCAGGTTGTCGGCCCCGTAAAGCACGTGGCCAGCCTTCAGCTGCTTTCTCTGGCACAGCCTGCGAGCCACGAAGGCTGCTGTGGAGCCGAGGAAGAGCAGGGAGACGAAGACCAAGGAAAGGATTAAATAGGTGGTGAGGGAGCCGGCGTCGTGGTCGGCGGCCGGGCTGCTGTGCGGTTGGCGCAGGTCGGAGAAGTCCTTGAGCAGGAGTGCGCTGAGAGCTGCGGTGGCTGAGAGCGGCGGCCGCCCGTTGTCTCGCACCAGCACCACGAGCTTGTGCTTGACGGGGTCTCTGTCGCTGAGCGGCCTCCTCAGCCTCACCTCGCCGCTTTGGGCCCCCACGGCAAAGAGCCCGGGGTCGGTGGCCCTCAGCAGCTGGTACGAGAGCCACGAGTTCTGTCCCGAGTCGGCATCGACGGCCACCACTTTGGAGATGAGGTAGCCCGCCTCGGCCCTCACGGGCACCAGCTCACTGGAGCCTGGGCTGCTGTCCTGCGCTGGGTACAGCACCAGCGGGGCATTGTCGTTCTCGTCCAGCACCACGAGGCGCACGGTGACGTTGGCTCGGAGGGGAGGAGAGCCCGCGTCAGAGGCGCTCACCACCACCTCGCTCTGCCTCAGCTGCTCGTAGTCCAGGGCTCTGAGCACAAACACCTGCCCGCTCTCCGAGTTCACAGACAGGCACGAGCACGAAGGCCGCTCCGCCGCTTGCCCTGCTGACAGGGAATAGGTCACCTTGGCATTGAGCCCCACGTCGGCATCTGCGGCGCTGACGGCTCCAACCAGCACGGAGGGCACATTGTTCTCGCGCACGTACATGGTGTAGGATGTCTGGTTGAAGACGGGGGCGTTGTCGTTGACATCCGAGATGTCCACGGTGAAGGTGTGGGTGCTTGTGAGAGGAGGGGACCCCGCGTCTGCTGCTGTCACGGTGACGATGTGCTGAGCCCTGTCCTCCCGGTCCAGCGCCCTCACAGTCACCAGCTCGTAGTAATTCTTATAGGCTGGCCGCAGGGAGAAGAAGAGCTGATCGTCGAGGGCACACGACACCTTGCCGTTGGCGCCGGCATCCCGGTCCCTGACAGTAAAGAGGGCAACCACCGTGCCGGGCGCTGAGTTCTCGGCGAGGGGATTGCTGAAGGAACTGACCACCAGCTCGGGTGCATTGTCATTCACATCCAACACCTCCACCAACACCTTGCAGATTGCCGAGAGCCCTCCACCATCTCTGGCCCTCACACTGAGCTCATGAGTCTGTGCTTCCTCAAAGTCCAGAGGCTTTGAGAGTTTAATTTCACCGGCTATGGGATCAATCTCAAATGCTGAGTCAGTCTGGCCCACTCCTTTGCTGAATTGATAGGAGATTTCCCCATTAAGTCCTGCATCCCGATCTGTTGCCAACACAGTCAGAACCACAGAACCCTCTGGTGCGTTTTCCAACACCTCCACGTCATACTCCTTCTGTGTAAAGACTGGGGAGTTGTCGTTTGCATCCAGAACTGTAATGTGAATTTGGGTGGCCCCACTCCTGGGTGGAGAGCCCCCATCCACAGCAATCAGACTGAAATCCATCTCTGCCTGCTCCTCTCTGTCTAGCGGCTTTTCCAAAACAAGTTCAACATATTTCTTGCCCCTAATCCGGCTCCCATAGGAGACACTAAAGTATTCGTTCTCGGGAGAGATGCTGTATGCCTGTACACTGTTACTGCCAATATCAAAGTCCTGAGCAACCTCCAGAGGCAAACGAGAGCCCGGGTCGCTCGTTTCCAGGATCTCAAATGTGACTCGGTCCTCGGGGAAAACAGGCGAATGGTCATTGATGTCCTCCAGGGTGACCTCGACCCGAAAGAACTGCAGCGGGTCGGCCAGCAGCAGCTCGAAGGGGAGCGTGCAGGTGGCGGCCTGGCCGCACAGCTGCTCCCGGTCCAGCCTGTCGGCCACGACGAGGCGGCCGCTGGCGCGGTCGAAGCGAAAATGCTGCCGGCCGTCCTCCGACACCAGGCGGGCGCGGCGAGCCGAGAGCTGCGCCGGCGGCAGCGCCGCGTCCTGCGCCAGGTTGCCTACCAGGGAGCCGCTGTGCGCCTCCTCGGCTACGGAGTAGCGGATGGGCTGCGAGCGAGCGAGCGGCAGGGAGAGCAACGCACACACACAAAGCACTTGCCTTGCGATCGCCATGGCCCTCCGGCGCCGGCTGCGGCGGCGTCCTCTCTCCTTGTCTCGGATCTCTCGGGTAGTCTCCGCAGAAAGCGGCGGCGGTCGGGTGCCTTCCTTCTCCCTCTGTATTCCGGAGGGGTCGGCAACCCGGAGTGCCGTCGCTGTGGCCCAGGAGCGGATGGCAGAGAACGGGGCTCGGTGCCGCAGGCGCTGCTCCCTCCGCCCGGCTCGGCTGTTGGGAGCTGGGCTGGGCTTGGCTGTGCTGAGCTGGGCTGCGCTGGGTCGGTGTCGGCGGCGCCTTAGCCGAGACCACCACCCAGCGGTGCGCGGTGGGACTGCGCCCGCCGCCGCCCGCTGCCCGCGCTGCCGCTCGCCCCGGCCCACGGACACGCGCGGGGCCTCCGCTCGCCCGCGGGTGCTCTCGGGGCCAGACCCGCGCACATCAAAACCGGAATATATGTGCCGACAAGAATCGGGATGAGCCAGGCGGGGCCGCCTCTTGAGTTCGATCACAGCGATAGCTCCGGCACCTGCCCCTCCTTTGTCCACGCTCTGCGCTGCCCACAGCCCGCGGAGAGCCGTGAGCGCTCAACTCCCGGCACGCGAGTGGGTGCCTTTCGAGAAACGGGGAGTTTTAAGCGGCACAAGGAGTTTCCCAACACAGCGTGGCACAGAAAGAGTGAGCCACCTTTCCCAAAGAGAGAAACCAGTTCAAAGCCTCTGACTGGCAACAGCTCGGGCATTACACTGAACACTCCATCGGCTTCATCTCCGAACTCCATACATATAGCAAGCCAACATTACCTCAGTAAAGGCACACTGATAAAAACTTCCATAAATAAAAACTCCCATGAAAAAAACTCTTGAAAAACCTTGACAGACCTTTCCCAGAAAGAACTTCTCTACAAAGACTTCTGTCTCTACATACGGAATTAGGGTACTCTCTTTATTTCAGTCCTACACATTATTTCAGTTTTTACAATCAGGAGTAACCCCCCTTACAATGCTGCAGTTCACAGCTTCGGTACAACAAAGTGTGGGGCTTTCTGAATATTCCGGTTATTACATATCTCTTTCAAAGAATCTATTACTATAGATGAAAGGGGAATACAAATGCTCTAACACAAACCCAGAAAATCATGCAGGGACAGCTTCCCAGTTCTGCGAATTCAGAAATAACAATGAGGAGATAGAACTCAGTCCTTTCCACAAGCTCATCTTGATTCTGCCTTTAGAAAATGCTCTTTGAAGGACATGTGGAGTTTGAATGCAATGCACTCAAAGACAATGAACATGCTTTCACAACTCTGTACAGTTCGAGGTTAACCTAACACTGTTTGTGCTACTGTACTGCAAGAAGACAGAACACCCAACCCACTCTTATCGTCCAAAGAAAGACCTTATTGTGCATTTTGTTGCTCTGTTCTGTCCTGCCCTGGAGAAGATGTGACCGCTGTGCTAAAAGGGTCAAAATACCCTCCTTGCCTGCTGAGCTGGAATTGGTTGCATTGCAATGGCTGAATGGGAGCAACTCCCTGTTCCAGGGGCAGCACTAGTGAGGATTAGGAGATACACGGTGTCTGTATTGACTGACACAGTGACAACAAAGCACACAGAGGCCACACTTCTCAGCCAGAGACATCCAGAACCCCGGAACGAAAGAGTCCTTATAACACAGAATAAAAGATCCACAGTCTTGTCTGACAGCGGGAGAGACAAGAGCTACTCTCTTTCTGCTAACCCCATTCTTTGTCTCTCAGAAATAGGCAGAAGGAACTGAAACATACGAATGTCAGAGTCAAAGTGTTTTATTCCTTTTTTTCTGTTTACTTATTGGCTTCTAGGGGAGCACAAGCACTTTAGGACTTAAAATTTGTGGAAATCAGTTATGCTAATTGGAAATACAGGTTTATTTTGGAGGAATCATCGCCACAGGCTGCAGCCTGCATCCCTTATGACCACAAGGCATGAAGCCTCTGGTTCTGCTGACCCCTTGTTAGTTAAAGGAAAGACGATTGAAATGTTCTGCAGACAGAGTCCCAGCACTCTCTGGGGTCACATCCTCTGTGGGGACAGGGACACAAGGGAAAACCTGTTCCTCACCGGTGCCCTCGCCCATGGCACAGGGCTGTGATGGCAGGCTGGGGACGAAGGGCTTGAGGAACCTGAACTCGCTGTTGCCCGAGCCCGTGGTGAGGCTGATCTCGTAGCAGTAGGGGCGGGGCAGGGTCCCTGCAGCAGCTGCATCGGCCAGGCCGCTCTGCAGGTTGTCGGCCCCGTAAAGCACGTGGCCAGCCTTCAGCTGCTTTCTCTGGCACAGCCTGCGAGCCACGAAGGCTGCTGTGGAGCCGAGGAAGAGCAGGGAGACGAAGACCAAGGAAAGGATTAAATAGGTGGTGAGGGAGCCGGCGTCGTGGTCGGCGGCCGGGCTGCTGTGCGGTTGGCGCAGGTCGGAGAAGTCCTTGAGCAGGAGTGCGCTGAGAGCTGCGGTGGCTGAGAGCGGCGGCCGCCCGTTGTCTCGCACCAGCACCACGAGCTTGTGCTTGATGGGGTCTCTGTCGGTGAGCGGCCTCCTCAGCCTCACCTCGCCGCTTTGGGCCCCCACGGCAAAGAGCCCGGGGTCGGTGGCCCTCAGCAGCTGGTACGAGAGCCACGAGTTCTGTCCCGAGTCGGCATCGACGGCCACCACTTTGGAGATGAGGTAGCCCGCCTCGGCCCCCACGGGCACCAGCTCACTGGAGCCTGGGCTGCTGTCCTGCGCTGGGTACAGCACCAGCGGGGCATTGTCGTTCTCGTCCAGCACCACGAGGCGCACGGTGACGTTGGCTCGGAGGGGAGGAGAGCCCGCGTCAGAGGCGCTCACCACCACCTCGCTCTGCCTCAGCTGCTCGTAGTCCAGGGCTCTGAGCACAAACAGCTGCCCGCTCTCCGGGTTCACAGACAGGCACGAGCACCAAGGCCGCTCCGCCGCTTGCCCTGCTGACAGGGAATAGGTCACCTTGGCATTGAGCCCCACGTCGGCATCTGCGGCGCTGACGGCTCCAACCAGCACGGAGGGCACATTGTTCTCGCGCACGTACATGGTGTAGGATGTCTGGTTGAAGACGGGGGCGTTGTCGTTCACATCCGAGATGTCCACGGTGAAGGTGTGGGTGCTTGTGAGAGGAGGGGACCCCGCGTCTGCTGCTGTCACGGTGACGATGTGCTGAGCCCTGTCCTCCCGGTCCAGCGCCCTCACAGTCACCAGCTCGTAGTAATTCTTATAGGCTGGCCGCAGGGAGAAGAAGAGCTGATCGTCGAGGGCACACGACACCTTGCCGTTGGCGCCGGCATCCCGGTCCCTGACAGTAAAGAGGGCAACCACCGTGCCGGACGCTGAGTTCTCGGCGAGGGGACTGCTGAAGGAACTGACCACCAGCTCGGGTGCATTGTCATTCACATCCAACACCTCCACCAACACCTTGCAGATTGCCGAGAGCCCCCCTCCATCTGTGGCCCTCACACTGAGCTCATGAGTCTGTGCTGCCTCAAAGTCCAGAGACTTTGTGAGTTTGATTTCACCACTCTTGGGATCAATCTCAAATAGCGACTCGCTGTCACTGACTCCTTCGCTGAACTGATAGGAGATGTCCCCATTAAGTCCTGCATCCTGGTCAGTTGCCAATACAGTCAAAACCACAGAACCCTCCAGTGTGTTTTCCAAAACCTGCCCAGTGTAACGATCCTGTGTGAAGACAGGAGCATTGTCATTGACGTCCAGAACAACAATATGGATTTGGGTGGTCCCACTCCTGGGTGGAGAGCCTCCATCCACGGCAATAAGACTGAAATCCACCTCTGCATGTTCTTCTCTGTCCAGGGGCTTTTCCAGAACAAGTTCAACGTATTTGTCCCCATTACTCCTACTGCCAAAGGAGACACTAAAGTACTCGTTCTCGGGAGCAATGCTGTATGCCTGCACACTGTTGCTGCCAATATCAAGGTCCAGAGCAGCCTCCACATGGAAATGAGAGCCCGGGTCGCCCCTTTCTGGGATCTTAAAAGTGACTCTTTCCTCGGGGAAAACCGGTGAATGATCATTGATGTCCTCGAGGGTGACTTCGACCCGAAAGAACTGCAGCGGGTCGGCCAGCAGCAGCTCGAAGGGGAGCGTGCAGGTGGCGGCCTGGCCGCACAGCTGCTCCCGGTCCAGCCTGTCGGCCACGACGAGGCGGCCGCTGGCGCGGTCGAAGCGAAAATGCTGCCGGCCGTCCTCCGACACCAGGCGGGCGCGGCGAGCCGAGAGCTGCGCCGGCGGCAGCGCCGCGTCCTGCGCCAGGTTGCCTACCAGGGAGCCGCTGTGCGCCTCCTCGGCTACGGAGTAGCGGATGGGCTGCGAGCGAGCGAGCGGCAGGGAGAGCAACGCACACACACAAAGCACTTGCCTTGCGATCGCCATGGCCCTCCGGCGCCGGCGGTGGTGGCTGCGGCGGCAGCTGTGGTGTCCTGTGTCCTTGTCGCGGATCTCTCGGGTAGTCCCCGGAAAGCGGCGAAGGTCGGGTGCCTTCCTTCTCCCTCTGTATTCCGGAGGGGTCGGCAGCCCGGAGTGCGGCCGCTGTGGCCCGGCAGCGGATGGCAGAGAACGGGGCTCGGTGCCGCAGGCGCTGCTCCCTCCGCCCGGCTCGGCTGTTGGGAGCTGGGCTGGGCTTGGCTGTGCTGAGCTGGGCTGCGCTGGGTCGGTGTCGGCGGCGCCTTAGCCGAGACCACCACCCAGCGGTGCGCGGTGGGACTGCGCCCGCCGCCGCCCGCTGCCCGCGCTGCCGCTCGCCCCGGCCCACGGACACGCGCGGGGCCGCCGCTCGGCCTCTCGGGCACCTCCGGCAGGACGCGCAACATGAAACGTGGGATAAAAATGCCCGAGAGGAGCGGCGGGAGCCCTTAGGGGAGTTCCAGTGCACAAGAAGAGCCGGCAGCTGCACCGGGTCTGTCCCCGCTCCTCACTGTCCGCAGCCCGCGGCCCGGAGGGCGCGCTCGTCTAACCATAGGTGCCCTTCGAGGAATGCAGCGGTAAAAGCGGTACAAGGCATTTCTTAGGGTAGCGTGGGGCGGAGGCTTTGTCCGGAGGGACTGAGCCGCCTTCCATGGACGGAGAAACCGGCAAGACTCTTCCACAGGTCCAGCATGCCTGTAACATCAGGGAATGGCACTACAGATACGGGGAAATGTCAGGTTGAGGACGGGGAAGGGAAGGTTCCTCCCAGGTCGGCTCAGTCATGGACGCGCCCACCGACCGGCCAGTCTGGAGGCTGAAAGAGAGAAGCGGCTGTACTGCCCGCATCGGCTTCCCTCTCGCCAGCGGGCTGCGAGCTGCAGAGTAAATCTTCGTTCTTGTCCGACCCCGTCTCAGTGCTGCTTTGAGGGCTGAGCAGGACGGGCCTCAAGAACTGAAATTCGCTTCTCCCCGAGCCGGTGGTCAGGCACACCTCGTAGCGGTAAGCCGGTGACAGAGTGCCCATCCCACCCACGTCTACGGCGTCGCTGGCGAAATCTCCATCCGCGTAGCAATTGGCAGAGGGAGGTGAAAGGTGTGCCCGGAGGCGAGCCTTGCACAGCTTGGCTGTCGCCAAGGCGATGACAGACAGGGCGAAGAGCGACGAGACGCAGCCCAGGGAGGCAATGAGGTAGGTGGTGAGTAGATCCTCCTCAGACCCCTGCGGCTGCTGCCTGCTCCCAGGATCGTTGTCGAGCTGCAGGAAGGCGTCGGAGAAGTCGTGCACCAGTGCGACGGTGAGGCTGGCGGTGGCAGAGCGCGGTGGCTGCCCGCGGTCCCGCACCAACACAACGAGCCTCTGCCGGGGCGCGTCCCTCTCCGTCACGGCCCGCGCCGTGCGCACCTCGCCGCTGTGCAGCCCCACGCGGAACAGCCCCGGCTCCGTGGCCTTGGCCAGCTCGTACGACAGCCACGCATTCTGCCCCGCGTCCGCGTCCACCGCCACCACCTTGGCCACCAGGTAGCCCGAAGGTGCCCAGCGCGGCACCAGCTCTCCGGCCACGCTGCTGTCGGGGGGCGGGTGCAGCACCACGGGCGTGTTATCATTCTGGTCCTGCACTACGATGCGCAGCAGCGCCTGGGTGCTCAGCGGTGGTGAGCCGCCGTCAGTGGCGCACACTACCAGCTCGAATGCATGCACCTTCTCATAGTCCAGTGGACGCAATGTCCGGACGGTTCCACTCTCTGCATCCACGGACACGAACGACGCCGCGGCGGGTGTGCCCGCTGGAGGTGCTTCTATTGCATATCTCACACGTGCATTTTCTCCCGCGTCAGCGTCTGTGGCTCTCAGGCGGCCCAGGCTCGTCCCCGCGGGCTCGTTTTCACTCATCGCCATGGTGTAAATTTCCTGGGCGAAGATGGGCGCATTGTCGTTCACATCCAAGAGCCGCACGAACAGTGTCTTGGACGCCGAAAGCGCGGGGGAACCTCCGTCACGGGCTCGCACGGTCACGTTATACTCTGACACCTGTTCCCTGTCCAGCACCCCCGATGTCACCAGCGCATACGCGTTGGACGCCAGCAGCGAGATGCCGAAAGGTTGCTCACCTGCCAGCTCGCAGGTCGTCCTGCCGTTGTCCCCCGAGTCCCGGTCCCGCACGTTGAAGAGGGCCACCACGGTGTTCTGCGGGGCGGCTTCTGAGAGGGTGCTGGTGAGGGAGGTGATGATCACCTCGGGGGCGTTGTCGTTCACGTCCTCTACCTGCACCTCCACCTTGCAGTGCGTGGACAGGCCCCCTCCATCTGTTGCCTGGACGTCTATCTCATAGGTCTTTGTTTCTTCATAATCCAAAGGCTTTTTGAGTCGAATCTGGCCTGTCCCTGGGTTTATTTTAAACGTCTGTAGATTTTCCTCTGAATTTTGAAATATGGAATAAGCTATTTCCCCGTTCGTTCCTGAGTCTAAATCGCTAGCAGACACCACCACCACTAAGGTGTCCTGGGAGCTATTTTCCCTAATGGGGACTTTATACAGACTCCGAGTAAATACCGGAATATTGTCATTTATATCCAGGACTACCACGCGGATTAAGGCTGTACCAGAACGCGGTGGAGTCCCACCATCCACAGCTGTGATACTGAAAGCAACTTCTGCCTGATGCTCCCTGTCCAGGGCTCGATCCAACACCAGCTCGGCGTATCTCCTGCCATCATTTCGCCGCCCGGTGTAGACATGGAAATATTCGTTCGAGCTGATACTATAATGCTGAAGACTATTGTTCCCCACATCTGGATCCTGAGCGCTTTCCAACAAAAATCGAGTCTCTGGCATTGCAGATTCCGGGATCCTTAAAACTATCTCTTTATTTAAGAACACAGGAGCATGATCATTAATGTCGGTGAGTCTTACCTCAGCTCGGAAGGACTGCAATGGGCTCTCCAGCAGCACCTCGAAACGCATCAGGCAAGGCTCACTCTGTCCGCACAGCTCCTCCCGGTCCATCTGCTCTCTCACCACCAAATCCCCAGTGTGCTTGTTCAGCTGTAAATACTCCTTTTCTCCATCAGGAACGAGTCGAGCCTGACGAGCCGATAATTCCGCACCGGTCAGTCCCAAATCCTTAGCGATATTCGCCACGAAGGAGCCTCTCTCCGCCTCTTCGGGCACAGAATACCGAGCGATTTCTGCTCTCATCCCCGAGACATAGAGGAGAAGGAACAGAGCCACCGCTGGCCCCGGGAGCGGCTCCTCTCTCTTCCTCAGCTTCATTCCCTTCCTGAGACCCGATCTCCCCTCCTGCGGGCTGGATGGAGCTACAGATACAGCCTGCCGACCCCCGGATGGAGCAGTCCGAGATTGTGCAGCTCCCCCGCCCGAATCCCGGGGGCGGCGAAGATGGAAACTGGGAAATGCGCGGAGCCTCCGCGGTCAGCAGCGGCACCAGGCGGCCTATCTGCCGAAGGACGCAAAGATTTCCCAGCACAAAGCCTGGAAAGCAGAGATTAACGGCTCGATTTCTCTCTTCCGAGGTCAAGTAATACAGATTAACTGTCCGTGGAATCCTGTTCAAATGTGGCCACCGCTTGAATAAGCAATGCCTCTGTTTGCCTTTTATTTGAAAACGAGATTCATTTAAATCTGGGGTTTGTAGGGGTTTCTTTTCCCCTTTCTTTTCCCCACTAACGTACCTCACTATAACGGTTTGAATAAACTGTTTTCAGGCTGTTTAGCTAAAAAAAGCTGTATATTTTTACAGGTGTCCAGCAAACCAACTGAGCTGGTCCAAACCAAGGCAGAAATCGTCATGGTGCTTCTCATAGGAATTCTCGGAATGGACCAAGATTGTTTGCTCAGTTCCCCTTCATTCTGGGAGCAACATCCCTCGGACCTCAGCTTGGCTCAGAAAATCCCCCTCCACCTTGCTCCGGCTCCTGAGAATGGCCTACTTCCCCGGTGGTTCTGATTTCCTCTGCATAAAATCCACTCCAAAGACACGGATTTATTCCCGAAATCCTGCTCCTTAGGCGGCTATTTCCTTGGCGATGACTCTGACAAGTGATCTCGAGACAGCACACTCACCCGAGGGAGTTTCAAATAGGTTTTATTGTTGTCTGTCATCAAGTATCTGACTCTTAAAAATGTGTTAGCTACAGGAAATATCACATTACTTTACAGATCAATACCAATTAATGAGGAAAAAGAAAACAGAAAGCTTCTTGAAGGCCTATATTCTACAGTGCTCTAAGTTATTTGTAAACAGTTTAGACTGTTTTACTGCAAAACCACGAGCAGTACTTTTAATTCTCTACTGCTTTACACTAAAAAATCCTTAAATATTAATTTCAATTTTACCTTCCAAACAAAACAAAACAAACAAAAAAACCCCCCACACCCAAAAAACCCAAAACCAAACCAAAAAAATCCCAAAACAAAACAAAAAAATCAAACCCCACCAAAGCACATTGCTCAAAGCCCACTCTTTACAGTAAGGAGAGCCTTTAAACTCCTGCCAAGTGTGCCAATGCCAGTGGTTTCTAATGTAAACAGCATCTGCCTGTTATTAAGAAATTCCTTTGCAAGCACCACTCAATTTGCTTAATATTTGTTTGGTCTAGTATTGAACAGAGAGTAAAAAAATAAGACATTAGTACAGAGCCCTCTCCATTAAAACAAACAAAACCGACCAAAAAATCCCATTGAAAAGGTGGCTTAGGAAAAAGTTGAAGATCTGCTGCAGTTTTCAGTATTTCCCTTAACCTGTAGAAGCAGTAGCACTTTCACAATCATACATTATTGTGTAATCAGCATGCAACACAGTTCTCCTCCATTGACATCACAATCACAAAATACCTACGTAAATAAAATGCTGCTCAAGAGGAGAGTGTTTCTGCTCCCTCACAGAGAAGCCTTCATCTCCCTGGTACCTTTTAGGGAGGTTTTTGGTCTCTTTGTTCTCTTTTCCCTGTGGGGATAGACGTTCTTGTCTCTCTTCACTTACTGATGGCTGAGCCAAGGGTTTTGATCAGAAGTGACATTTAACTCCAGCCCCCCGGTTGCAGCGCAAGCTGCTTCTGCAGCTCCGGGTCCTGTGTCTTCAGAGAGGGGAGCTCTGCCCTGTAAAGAACAGAGAGACCGATTATCTTTTGGGCACTGAAGGAAAGCAGGTGTCATCGAGAAGCTTAGAGGGCATGCCTTACACCACTGCCTGTGTGACACTTTTCTACCAGAGCCAAAGAGGAGGTCTCTGACCCGAACAGGGAACATCTAAAGTCAGAAACCATCCTCCACTACGGACAACACAGAGGCACTACTGCAAAACTTTTATGATTCTCAGGGATTAATTCAAGATGGTAAGAGCCCCGAATAAAATCCACTTTCTCACAAACAGTGAATGTGGTTTAATGTTGATGTATCAAGAAGGGTCGTTGTCTGCCCTGAAGCTATTGAGGCTCTGAAAACCTCAAACAGTAAAGTGAGTCCAAGTGGTTATGAAATACTAAAATGTCAAGGGGTGACTTAAGATGGTATTAGAGGTGACTTGGACTCAGTGGGAAAGTGAGGAGTTTCAATGACCATCTCTTCTCTCCCTCATGCTCTTTGAACACATGGAAGTTAACAGGAGGCTCAGATATATATGACTCTGAGTTCACAAAGTGCTGGTACTACCTGGGAACACCCAGCTGGGTCAGGAAAAGACTGCGAGGGTGCATTCTAAAGTCCCGATAACCACACCTTTCTTGCCAATACTGTTCATGCAAGTCATAAAAATATAAGGGAATTGAATGGCAGAGGTACTCACCTCCATAGCCTCGAGCAGCCTCAGTTCAGCATTACCACCACCACCCTCGTGAATCGCACTTGGTAGCGCCGAGCACCAGCTCCGAACAGCGGTGCAGGGAACATTGTCAGTGAAGTGCTACCCCTTTGCACAGTTGTCCCCGCAGTCTCATCTGTCATTGCACAGGATCACTACATTCCCACTACTGCCGCCTCCGGGAGCACGTGTCCCTGGAAGCTGTACATTCCTGCTCCCCAAGGGCTCCACACAGTGCCTGGGCAGGATCCAAAATGCAGACAGATTTCTACCTCTGCTTTCTCACCTTCTCGTGGTCCAGCTGCTCCCTTTTGCAGTGACATTGAGGACTTGCTTTAACACGAATACTCAGCATAGATATGGGTGCAGTTCCCCAGGGAGGTGATAGAAGCCCCACCCCTGGAAATATTCAAGGTCAGGCTGGGTGGGGCTCTGAGCAATCTGATCTAATTGAAGATGTCCCTACTCCTTGCAAGGAGAGTTTCTAGTCGACGGCCTTTAAAGGTCCATTCCAACCCAAACTATTCTATGCTTCTATGATGCAGAGAGGTGAGGTTAGTCAGCATATGGGAAGCAGCTGAATCCTGCTGGGTCCTCTTGGGAGGTCTCTTTGAGACCCCCTTTAACTTTTCCTCCCACCACAGAGACTCCTCCACTAGCAGCTCAGCAACTTCTTTGCTGGCAGGATGTGACACATCACCCTATCTTCCCCCCCGCGGACAGGTGCCTCACCTGTGCAGCCCAGTCGCCTTCCACTCCGAGGTTGGCCACATCTTGCGAGCACACCGAGCTCCGCTGTTCGCCCGGGCCGGGAGGCAGCCCGGCGGGGAAGCAGGGGAAGAGAGGTCTTAGGAACCGAAACTCGCTGTTGACGGTGCCGGCGGCGAAGCAGACATCGTACAAGTAGCTGCGGGGCAAGGAACCCGCACTGCTCTCCGTGGCTATCGTCGGGAACGTGGGTAAGGTCTCCGTCTTGCTCCGCCTGGCCCGCCGCACCTTCACCACCACGGCGGCCACCGCGGTGGCGAGGAACAGCGCAGACACGCAGGCCAGGGAGGCGATGAGGTAGAGGGTGAGCGGCCCGTCGGGATCAGCGACCGGTGCCTCCTCGCTCACCCGCAAATGTGCTTCGGAGAAGCCGTCCACCAGTGCGACGGCGAGGCTGGCGGTGGCAGAGCGCGGTGGCTGCCCGCGGTCTCGCACCAACACAACGAGCCTCTGCCGGGGCGCGTCCCTCTCCGTCACGGCCCGCGCCGTGTGCACCTCACCGCTGTGCAGCCCCACGCGGAACAGCCCCGGCTCCGTGGCCTTGGCCAGCTCATACGACAGCCACGCGTTCTGCCCCGCGTCCGCGTCCACCGCCACCACCTTGGCCACCAGGTAACCCGAAGGTGCCCAGCGCGGCACCAGCTCTCCGGTCACGCTGCTGTCAGAGGGCGGGTGCAGCACCACGGGAGTGTTATCGTTCTCGTCCCGCACCACCACGCGTAACAGCGCCTGGGTGCTGAGCGGCGGCGAGCCGCCGTCACTGGCGAGCACTGACACCTCAAAGGCACGCACCTTCTCATAGTCCAGAGGGCGAAGGATATAAACATCCCCGTTTTCAGCGTTGACTGACACCTCGGGCTGCTCCTTGCCCTCCTGTCTCACCAGCGCATAGTTTACGTGGGCGTTTTTTCCTGCGTCGGCGTCCGTGGCTTTCATGCTGCCGATCCGGAGCATGGGGCTGTTGTTCTCCGTGACCGACATGGTGTAAATCTCCTGGGTGAACTCTGGGGGATTGTCGTTCACATCCGATATCTGCACGAAGATGTTTTCTCGAGAGCTCAGCCGCGTCGTACCCCAATCCGTGGCTGTGATGGTGATGTTATACTGCGCCGTGCTCTCCCTGTCCAGCGCCGCGTTTGTTCTCAGTTCGTAATAGTCATCAAAAGTGAGGGTGAGGCTGAATGGCAAGTCCCCGTCGATCGAACACTCCGTCCTGCCGTTGTCCCCGGAGTCCCGGTCCCGCACACTGAACAGAGCCACCACGGTGCGTGGCGGGGCGTCCTCGGGAATGGAGGCGGTGAGAGAGGTGAGCGCTATCTCCGGGGCATTGTCATTCACGTCCAGGACTTCTACCTCTACTTTGCAGTGCGCAGACAGCTCCCCGCCGTCGGTGGCTTTTACCACCATTTTGTGGGTTTTCGCTTCCTCGAAATCCAGGTTGCCTGCGACTCGTATCTCGCCGGTGGCCGGGTTCAGCTGGAACAGCTGCCGGGATCGCTCCGCTGTCTGGGTGAAGGAATACCGCACTTTCCCGTAGGATCCTTCATCGGGATCCATGGCCGCGACTCTGACCACCAGCTGCTCCAAGGGGCTGTTTTCAACCAGGCGCACCTCATAGACCTCCCTTTCGAAGATCGGGATATTGTCGTTGGCATCCACCACCACGATCCGGACCTGAGCCGTGCCCGACCTGGGTGGCGAGCCCCCGTCGATGGCGGTGAGAAGTAAATTCAGCTCCTCCTGCTCTTCGCGGTC